TATCTCCCCAATCCTTGAACACTGTAACTTCACCCACCATCACTTACCTTTCCTAGTGGCATAAAAAACTAGTTCACGTCAAACCTCACATACTCCAAAATGTACTTAAGCTTTGTAATGTTTCTGTTTCTAATAAAAATAAAGTGGATTTTTGTGTAGCATGTCGTATGGGGAAGTCCCACAGACTCCCCTCTCACTCTTCAACTATAGTTTATTCTAAACTTTTACAACATATTTTTATTTTTATTTGTGGGTTCTTGCTCCCATGCATTCTTCTATGGAATATACATACTATATCTCATTTATAGATGCATACAATTGTTATGCTTGGATTTATTTTTTAAAAAATAAATCAAAGGTATTTTTTTAAATAATTTAAATCTTTGGTGGACCATTAACTAAATAAGAAAATTAAGTCTTTTCAATCAAATTGGGGTGATAAATTTAGGCCATTTAAACAATACCTTACCTCCTTGGGTATTACACACAATTTACTATGTTGTCACACTCACCATCAAAACGATGTTATTGAGATAAAATATCACCACATTGTTGAGATGAGGTTAATTTTACTATCCCAAGCTTCGCTTCCTATGACTTATTGGGATCATGCCTTCCATATTGTTGTCTATCCTATCAATATGAGTCTCTCTGTTTCTCATAAACTTGCCATCCCTTTATAGAAACAATACACTAGATTTTTCCTTTCTAAGTTTTTTGGTTGTACATGTTATCCCTTCCTTTGTCTATACAACTCTCACAAGCTTCAATTTAGGTCAACTGAATGTATTTTTCTTAGGTATTTTCCTTCACATAAAAGGTACAAATGTGTTGACTCCACTGGCAAATTGTTCATTTTAAAGGATGGTATTTTTAATGAACTATGTTTTCCCTCACTTATTTCTACTACCTCCACTCAAACAACCTCTCAAACCTCTCATCTTTTTCCTCTTGGAGTTTTATCCTCTCCTCCTCCTCTACACACAGAAACTTACCCTTCTTATTCTATTCAACATGCTACATCCATTTCTTATTCCCCCAAAAAAGTTTTTCCTCCACCAACCACTACATCTATTGAGTTTGTTCCTTTTTCTTCTTCTTTAACTCTACTCTCTCCTAAAAATCTCCACCCCATGCAAACACGATCAAAATTTAGTATTGTCAAACCTTGGATATACCACAATTTCTTATTCATATTTGCTGAAATAGAACTTTGTTCATTTAAACATGCCTTGTCCTCACCACAATGGAAACATGCAATGCAACTCGAGTATGATGTTCTTTTATCAAATCAAACTTGGTCTCTTACTTCTTTTCCCCCTAGTCAATTTGTTGTCGGGTGCAAATGGATTTTCAAATCAAGGAAAATCCTAATGGAACTATCAGCAAGTACAAGGTTAGGTTGGTTGCCAAAGGGTTTCACCAATGCCTTAGTTGTGATTACTTTGAAGCTTTTTCCCCAATGGTGAAACTTGTTACTATTTGTATTGTTTTAACTCTTGCTCTTAGTAACATGTGGCCTATTAAGAAAGTTGATGTGAATAGTGCATTTCTCAATGGTTTTTTTGGATGAAGATATCTATATGGCTCAACCTCTAAGCTTTGAGGCTAATAGCAAAAGCCTTGTTTGCAAACTTTAAAAGGCTATATATAACCTAAAATAGACCCTTAAGGCCTACTATGACCATTTCACTCAAACATTGTTGAGTTTTGGCTTTATCTACGATAAATTTGATCCATCATTGTTGATTTTTCACTAGAATAGGAGTTGTATCTATATACTCATTTATGTAGATGACATCATCATCACATGCACTTCTTCTTCTTCTTCTTCATTGGTTTATGAATTAATTGCCAAATTACATGCAATATTCTCTCTGAAACAACTAGGTGACTTATATTATTTTCTTGGTGTCAAGGTTAAACATACCTCTTTTGGTCCTTTAGTTCTTACGCAAGCCAAATATATCATAAATCTTTTACAGAATGCATATATGGCCTCTGCCTAGTAATCTCAAATTATCCCTTGTGGGTCTAATTATGTTAATGATCTTGCCACTTACTAGTCTATTGTGGGTGCACTTCAGTATATATATGACTATTACTAGACCATAAATTGGTTATGCAGTAAACAAGGTCTTATAGTTTATGGCACAACCTTTAATGAACCATTAGATTGCAATAAAGCACATTTTTTGCTATCTTAGAGGCACTTTGGATCTTGGTCTTGTTCTAGAACCTACTCTTCCTCAACTTTCTTTTAGCTTACATATGATGTTGATCAGACCTTCGATGTTGGCATTAGAAGGTTTATTTTTGGAGCTTGCCACTGGTCTTTATCTTGGTCCCAATCTCATTTCTTGGTGGTTTAAGAAATAGACTTTAATAGCTCGCTCAAGTGCTAAAGCAAAATATCAAAGTTTAGCCTTAGCAGCCTTTGGAGTTCTTTGGGTTAGATCTCTTCTTCATGGGCTCAGTGTTTCAATTCCTACTCCAGTTATCTCCTATGATAATCAAAGCATTGTTGCTTTAAGCCATGATCCCATTCTTCACTCTAGAACGAAGCATATGGAGTTGGATATTTTCTTTGTTAAAGAGAAAGTTCTCAACAAGTCACTGATTATGTCTCGTGTTCCTTTCTATGAAAAAGTTGATGATATTCTCACAAAACCACTTGCCAAGGCTCAATTTTGTCTTCTTAGAGACAGACTCAGGGTTCATCCCAACTCTCACCTTGAGTTTGAGGTGGAATAATAGTGTATATATTGCTTATAATTTTCTACTTCTGTATAATCTTAACTTTGTATTAGTTGTTAGTTTGCTAGATATATTATCATTGGTAATTATGCTAGTTGTCATATTTTGTTAAGCATTAGATGTTTGTTTCATTTTTGTACATTATATAAGTATTGATCTCTTTATTGTAGAGAATCAGAACTTGAATAAACAAAATTTCAAATAACTTCTTTTCTCTCTTTCTCTCTAGAACTTGAAATTCTTTAAATTTACTCTCATAACTTGCAAATATATTTTATATTTTTTGCTTCAAGCAAAAAATCTGAATCAAAATTTTATTATATAAAGTTGATGATATTTGTGTAGTTTTCTCTCCAAAGAGTCCACCCAAATGAAAAATAATTTAGGAAATTTTTTGTTAACTCAAAATAAGGGCTAAAAACTAATTATTAATAATATTAGTTTCATTCTAAAATTAATTACAATTATTGATTTCTTGAAATTGTACACGATAAATGATTATATATCAATTAGGTATAATTATAATTAGTTTTTTTACTTCCCAAAAGTATTTTTTGAACATTAAATTTACTATTCTAGATCATACTTTCCAAAATCTTATTGCATAAAGTTAACATTTGTGTATTTTCTCTAAAAAAAATTCGCTCAAATGGAAAATAATTCAAGAATTTTTTGTTGACTTAAAAAAAGGGTTAAAAATTGATTATTAATCTTATTATATAAAATTAATATTTATATAGTTTTCCCTCCAAAAAAAAGCTGCCCAAATAGGTAATAATTCAAGAAATTTTTGTTGACTCAAAATAAGAGTTAAAAACTAATTATTAATAATATTAATTTCATTTTAAAATTAATTACAAATGGTTCATTGAAATTATACATAATAACTAATTATGTATCAATCAGGTATAAATATAAATAGTTTTATACTAAGTACTTTTCAAATATAAAATTTACTATTTCAAAAAAATACTTTTTAAAAGTATAAAAAAATATTTTTGAGAAATATTTTTCAGAATATTAAATTCACTGTTTCAGAAAGCATTTATCAGATTCAAGAGTATGTTTCTTCATACTTTTGGAAGGAAGGTCTATGAAGTCCAAATATTAGATAAAGAGATATAAAATTAAAGGATAATTTAGAGAAAAAAAGAGTAAATGAGATATATTATTAATGGTGAGAGGTGTATTCTACAAAAAGCGTAAAGATTTGGCCAATTTGACTCAACTCGACGGATAAAACATATGAATTATGTTCCTGAGTTAGGACACACACTTCAATTATCTTGGTCGTCTCGGGTCAGGTGTAGGGTTACGGTCTTCTCGTTCTTGTCCGGGTGGTCCGATGTGAGGGGGGGTGTGCCTGCAAAGACACTCCAACGCTCAAGTAAGTGTTCGGCGTAATAAATGCGGTAGTTGAAAGTTAATTACATACCTCGTTGGGGCTCTATTTATAGACGCTGGTGTTGGGTCGTGATTAAGGATTGGGCCCCGGAAAATTAGGAGGCTAATCCAATGTATTACGCTAATTAAACTCTATAATCGGTCTGGCAAAGGCACAGAGATTGACCGACCAACCCGACACGTTTCACTCGCTTATAAGTGGTCGGTGGGCTAGGGTGATCGGCGTAATTATTAAGGGGTCGGATCCTCGGCCTAATCACTCGCGGGCTCGGGTATTCGGCCTACTCGTTCATGGGCTCGGGTATTCGGCCTAATCGGCCACCATACGGTATAAATTAAAATTAGGCTTAAAAGATATCAAATTTATCTGGCCAGGTGTTTTTTCCTTTTAAATTACATATAAAATTATTTACAGCCAAGCCAGAGAAAACAGAGCCCATATAATAGTGAGGCTGGGCTAGACCGTTTCTCGTATTTAGCCCGCAGGGCTGACCAGTTTTTGATAGCTATGATCAAAATCAAAACATTGACAAGAATACAAGTAATTAATAATTTATTTATTAGTATTTTTTTTATTAAAGAACAAAGTATTTGGTACTTAAAAATTGATTATAGTGATAGTGCATGTGAGTAAAATGAATTATTTTCTTTTAGTGAATGAAACTATCTTGTGAATAGTAAAATTTAAAAATAATACAAATCCTTTAATTTTGAGAAAAGGTTTAGATTGAAAGATGGATTCAAAACTATATTTTTAAGGTGTTAACAAGCAGATTCACTGATTTCATTATACTACGCGCTGATTGACAAAAGTAAAAGACTTATTATTAAACCAACTGTTTCTACAAAAGCCCCACATGATTTATATTGAGTTGTGATACAAGATGATATTTGGCTAATTACATTATGACATAGCGGGTTGTGGGCATGTTCATATACGCTAACAAGGAAAATTTATATTCTATATTAGAATGTTCAAACTGTCGTCAACTACAGTCTACAGTGTTTTAACTACTCCATACCAGTGATGAAAACCAAGAAGTTCCCGTCTGAGTCAATAGCAATGGCATTCCCAGGTCGACATCTCCTCCAGAAATCAAACCCAGAAGAATGATTGCTACCATCCATGTATGTGAAACTTATGCCAAATGGGGACATGAATAATGAATTGATACCAAGCAAATCAAGCGTGGGTTCAGCTGGTAGATTTTGCCAACGAGATACTGAATCAGACATGACTCTGTACAAGTTGATCAAAGACTTGCCCACAAAAACTGCAATTTATCCTTGTTTCCGAAGTGATAGGGGACAAGACAATTCATAATGATATTATGGAGCTGTTGGCCAGGCGTAGGCTTGGAGAAGACTGATAAACCCCTCATCTTCTATTATTCTAACTATATTGTTTGTACTCCTGCCCACAGGTACTTCAAAACCACGCACTTTACTTCTTAGGATATTCGAAAACAAGGCCTTCTGCTACACTTCTTGCTCTTCCATTACCATATAGCTTACTCACAATGATCAATGCTAAAACCGTAACAGTGGCAAGTCCCTCACTAGTGATCAGTTTGCCATCAATGACTACTTTGGCACCATTTATTGCTTGGTCTTTAAGCTTGTCTAAGACAGAGGGATGAGCTGTGGCCCTCTTGTCCTGTGACAGCAAGAGATTTCTAATTTCAGTGAGGCTTTCCTTAAGAATTGGATCAGGAAGCAAGCGAATGATGATAGTTCATAGTAGGGCATCATTTACCTTTAGTAAACCTTGTTTATGTAGAATGGCAAGTGAAGAGCAGACCGCCCCGTATATCCTTCCGGCTGAATTTTGTTCTTTAAGAAGCTTCTTCAGAACTTTAGATTTGCTTAATCTTTGAGCACCAGCAGTTCCTCCCTAAAAATTCACGACAATCTCAGTAACAACAAATTATAGGTGGGACAAAACAAGAACCATCTGATTCTGTAGATAATGACTATCATAAGCTAAATATATTGACACCATAGAGTGCAACAATAAAATCCCTACAATTTGAATGGTCAAAGTAATAGCATTACAGCACAGTGTGACACTCATTTTCACCCCATGCATATATTTGTGTGATATATTTTTGGAAGGGGGAGGGGCGATGGTTAAAGATTGTGATGTTTGGAAGTTTAACAATAGGGATTCATTTGATTTTGAAATCTTTGTAGAGCATATTTTGAATTTCATCAAATTTGGTTGGAATAGAGTGGCCTTTATTTGATTTTAGTTTTAAATGCTTTAAATGATAATTTTATCCTTATTTATTTGCCTTTTGCCTACTTTACCTATTCTAGTACAGGATAAGAAAGTGAGTGTTAAAACAAAATGAATTCCATTCAATTTTAATGTGTTCCAATCATAAATACAAAATTAATTTACAAAGCAATTCAAATCCTATTTTATACAGTAACATCATGAAAAAATGAAGCAACTTATTTATTTTCAGAAATTTATCTTACTGGAAGAATAATCAAATCATGTGCTGACTCTTGAGCATCACTAATTAAGATATCAGCAACAATTTTGGTTCCTTGCGAAGCCAAAACCTCAAGAGATTTTTCAACTGAAGCAACTGTGACATTAGCTTTTGCTCTTCTTAGAATATCTACCATAGTCACTACTTCAATCTCTTCAGAGCCATGCGCAATTGGTATGAGGACCTGGACATCATCATATAAGACTGTATGTGTAAGATCCGTGTTGCAGGTCTTCCCAAATTATACAGATATGATGGTTAAGTTTGTAACTTACACTAGGGGTGTGGTGGTCAACAGACCATTCAACTTTATTGAACTCCTTCTTAGCTGCATTATCATCATCCGTTCTCATCAACTGTTATAAACGAAGATATTTGATTAGGCACAGAACTTAACTGATAAGGCAGCATACATCAAACATGAAAAGATCAATAAAAAGATGTTATATTTTATAAATGTAATCAAAATAAAGCACGTTAATTTAAAAAAAAATAGATTTCAGGCACACTCGTCATTCTTTTCTTTTTCTTTTTTTCCTGCTTATCTCTCTTCCTCTGCTAATATTTGTTTTTAACCTTTTCCGCCCCTAGGTAAACGTGTTAACATGCGATAAACCAAACATATGGGTTTCGTTTTATGTTTGATACATTTTAAAAATTGAATAGAACTAGTGGTACATTTTTGGCTCCACTAAAATAGTTGGAACCAAGGAGAACAAAACACAGTAGAGGTGTTTCATTTTGTTTCATGCTGCTCTAGCCGCACACCAAATACTACCTAGTTAAAATTCCCAGTTCGACTAGTTCAGTATCTAACAGCAGTTGGTTCTTTAACTATTAAACCTGCTAAACGTGTGCTCCTGGTGGATCATTGCAATTTAGGGCCTACAATCTTTACACGTGAATATTTGGCAATACATAACTGAATCCTATAGAATGCTCTCTTCAAGAGATTACTAAATTTGCATTTCCCTTAGATTGTGATTTCATGTATATTAATTCGATATAAGGTACCATTACTTTTCAGCATGGTATCAGTAATCAGCCAGTAAAGAAAGAGAAGAAACCACCACAGATATGCAGAACATAATTTGTCACATAAAGCGAAACAATTTATTCCTTTCTAGCATGAAAGTTGCTAACTAAGACAGTTTACCAACAATTCTGCAACCTCCTTGGCAACAGACTTTCCAAATAGCTGCTCGGCCAACGACAAAGCAAACTGGTAAGTAGTTGCAGGCCCACGGCTGGTTGTGAGCCCTTTGGAAACCTGAATATTTGATTTGACAGCCCAAAAGGTTGGAAGCTTGTCGAAGAATGCAGGGTGACAAGTTATCTTGAAGGGCAAACTAGAAAATATTAGTCTTGACAAAGAAAAACCAAAAACAACAAAAATGAAACTCTAGCTTAAATTGCAGTAGTAATATTACTACTTTTTAAGAGAATTTAACTGAAATACACTAAAAGTGAAAATATCTTAGTAAGTCAGTCAAGCATAAATTGTTATAGATTGTTGACTTTTGTCAAAAAAAAAAAAAATTGTCCATGGACATAATTCACGCAGTATCCCAAAGTTAACAACCAATGCCTAATCTGTTTGTGGGACGTGACTTTTGCTAGTCAAGTATTATTTTAACTCGGACAGGATCAATCCTAGAAGCACCAAACTAACTTCTCGTGCCAAGAACAGGCCTTACAAGTTACAACTACTGGCCAATTTTAAAAATATAGAGTGATTTTAATTAGTTAATAATGAAAAATCTTTATACTGAACATAAAAAATTAACTCTTCTAAATTTCCACATAACTTTGATTATGTTGGGACAAAAAACTCATTTCTTTTTAATGAAAAACACATAGAATAGGACACCATAAAGAAATAGAAAATATGACACAAAGTTATTTAAGGTGGTTTAGCCCCTTATGTCTGCGTTCATGGTATGTTTATTATCTCAAAATGTATTACAAGTTTTATCAAAATCTTCCCTATAAATTTTTTGGCGAAACTTAAAAATCCTTCCTTACAAGTTTTCTCAAAAGATTACAACAACAATTTTGATAGGTATCACAACTGTTACGGCAATTGCAATTATTTTTTTTTTGTTGTCCATGTACATGGTTCTCACAATATTCCAAAGTTGACAATCAAAGATTAACTTGCACTGGCAGGATGTAACTTCCATCAACCAAACATTATATATTAATATGGATTAATAATACCAAGTCTAAGAAACATTGTCAACCAATCACAAACAAATAGACATGTATGTTATATTTATTGATTTTTTGGCTTAAATATAATTTTTGTCCTTTAATTTATCGCTTTTTCACTTTTACACCCGGTAAAGTTTTTTGTCATCATTTCTTCCAAAACCTTTTATCTACAGCAGATTTCCGGTAAGAACATTTTATAAGTTTCAAAAATACTCTACCATCAACTTTTGTTAAAAAAATCTTATGTGAAAAACGAAATATATATTATATTCGATACATTTCATTTCACTATTATCATGTAGATATATTAATTTTAATTTTTTTTAGATAAAGTTTCAAAATGTGTGTCATGTCCTTGCTGTCGTCGATGATGAAGCTAGATCATTGACCTCCCTTCTCAAATGTAGTGTCTCACTTGTTGCTGTTGCAACAATTGCAATAAGTGGTGATAGTCTTAATGGTTTTGAGCCAACCAACATAGTTCTTCTTGATCTTGAAAGAAACGACATTGACAGTGATGCCAACAGAATGGTGGACACTCTTGCAGCGCATGAACTCATGCACAATGGAGGAGTAGCCAAGCATGACGTTGAACTCCTCCATGGTGAGATGACAGTTGATGGAAACCTCATAAAGGAGTGGTCGTTGAAGACAAACATGGCGTCGTTGTCGAGATCATGGATTGTGAGAAGTTGTTCCTCGTCGAGAGATTGGAGTTTGGATAGTGAAGTTTAAGGTTTGTACTATCGGATTTGGATTTGGAAAGGGAAGCGCAATCACAAGGGTGTGAGAGTGAGGTTTTAGGTGTGAACATGAGAATGGTGAAGTAGAATATAAAGAATATAATATGTATTCCGTCGTTTGCCACGTAAGATTTTTGTTAACCGTAATGACTATAAGGACTACTTTTGAGACATTATAAAAGTTCATGGATAAAACAGAAAGGAAATAAAAAACCAAAAGTATAAAAACAGTAAATTATTGGGAAAAAGTTATATTTAAACCTTAATTTTTTTTATTATAATTATCTTAAAAGTGGTAAGAATAATGATTTCTAAATTCTAATACACTCAATGTATAAAATCTTTCTTAGAGTGACATTTCATTATTGCCTATTAAACTCAATAAACATTCATTCTATAATTAAGTCCAAGTTAAGCAAAGCACCTTCTTTTTCTTCAAAAGCCCCCATGGCAAAAGGGTGACAGCCGGAGCAGCACAAATAGCACCATAGAGCCTGTTTTCCTCAGCTTGTTTGCACATGATTTTCCTCAGCACATCGCAATCCCGTAGTCTCGCAGAGCCCG